GTAACTACTGGAGGTATGTTCGTAACAACTTTTTTTTTTTTGGGTCATATGGATATGATTAATTGTTAGTGAAAATAATTATTTGTTGGCTTTCCATTATTTGAGTAAACCAAAGTTATCAGAACTCAGAATGCTTTTGTCCAGCCAACGCATTGGCCAACTTTGTATCCCATCTTCATACAAGCGGTTTCACATTCAGAAATGCTTTTACATGGTCCAATGCATTTTTTAGGCTGAGCTTCAACGTTTCCTACTTTTTTTTCCATTCAATTAATAACAATTTTTAAAAGAAATAAGACTTGAGTTACAATTGTAATAACAATTGGAACATCTAACGGCAGGCGTTCATTACACATATAGTTTGCAAGTAAAATTACTGAAAGACTCTTTTAAGAATTTATTGACTGTTAAATTGGACTTCCATTACATTACTACAGACAAGGGAGATACTGTTTACCTGAAAATGAACATAAGTGTCTTACGCAGTTTCACACTTTGGACAACTCTAAAGGACAAACTCAGCTTCTCTTTGAACTTCCCGCCGGCCAAAGCTAACCCTGAAAATCTCAGTCTCGAGTTCCAAATGTGATGGACAAGTGTCAACAAACACCCTAACCCTTGGTAATCAAAGACGAATTGCTCTTTCTTCATCTGTAAGTTTTGCTCTTAATTATGCTCTTGAACAGAGAGACCATGATCTGTCTTGTGCTAAAGGGCTAGATGATGGGCACTGTTTTATTTCACGAGAAGAATATGTCAATACCAATACCTACTGACCATTTTTGCAACTCTCAACAGAAAGAAAAAACCTAAACAAAATCTCAACGAGCACTACATTGTCACCAGTGAAGCATAGGACAGGTATATGATAAACGAAAATTGGACCCTTGTATATGTTACCAACCATCAACGAACTACTCTAGTAAGGTGCTGAAGTCCAGAGCATTGTCAAATTTGAAAGCTCGATAAACTTTAAATTCTAATATATATGATCTTCATTTGGGACATTAGTTCAGCTAAGTGGCACTAATAACATCATGAACTTGGCTTCTCAAACGTTTTTACACTAACAGAGTGAACTTTCAACACATTAAGATTATAATAAGGGGAAGAGGAAGATTATACCTTAAGTTAAGTTGTGAATTCGTAAGCGTTTGGGACATCATGAACTGGGTGACCCTTTTGATTTCGCTCAATTATCCTCCGTGCCAACGCTACTTGCTTCCCCACCACAAAGATGAAAGCCTTTCCTTCTCCTCTAGCCCCTCTTGCTGTTCTTCCTACACGTCTCACATATTCACTGGGGTCACGTGGAAAGTCAAAGAGCACCACATGATCAACTCCAGAGAAATCTATCCCACGGGAGGCTCTGCCATTGTTTTGGAAAGAAAAAGGAAAAAAACATGTAACAACTTCAGTGTTCAGTTCAAGCAATATAGCATCATTATGTGATACATGTAACCCACAATGAGGTACCTATCTGTGCAAACCAGAAACAATGAATTTTCTTCGGGCTGAGATGACGTGAATTCTTTCATGTTTTTAAGCCTTGATTCTTGTGAGAGTGCAGCATGAAAAGGTAGGACGTGCAACTGCCTTTCCTTTCTATCAACCCGTTTAAATATATTTTCAACTTTCCTACATGTTTCAATCTGCATATAAGAGGGTAGATCTTTCTACATGAGGCTGAGATGTCCAAAAAGTTTTGAAGTAGTAGCGGAAAAAGTAGGTGGGGACTATGGCACCTTATTGCAGAAGATAATAGTTTTGGAAACAGGGTTTTCCTCGATAATCTGAAGAAGAGCGGTTTTCTTGTTCTGAAAAGCAGTCTCAGGAGTTTTCTCTGCATTATCATCTCCACTACAGTCAACAAGAAACTGCACAGTGCAACTCAACATTGGTCAGGGACGATTATGCAGCAACCAAATTAAAAAAAAAAAAAATATTCCTGCTATCTTGTGGATTCTATTATATATTTCCAATCACTTCTTATGTTAATACCAACCTCTTCGAGAGCATTACTAACACGGTGCACTCGAGGTCCCATTACAACTTCACAATCAGGGAAAACTTCAACAAGTTTGTTGTATATCTCAAGTGGCAAGGTTGCTGTAACAAATAGATATTGTGCAGTAACAGGGGAAGAGTTTATCAAACTTTGCAGGGCTGCCTCAAACTCATCATCGCCAAAGAGTATATCTACCTCATCCAAGATGGCACTGCAAGACACAGATTGTACCCCATCAATTTCAATTTTCACACAAAACTAGGTGAAAGTTTTCATCTCGTCAAATCTGCTCTTTATTCAAAAGAGTAGGGAAAGGTAGCTTTGTTGAAAGATTTCAAGTACCATCTTAGATTTGACAACCCCAAAATTCCTTCGTTCATTAAATACATGAAACGCCCTGGTGTTGCAATCAATACGTCTACACCTTGCTCTAAATTTTCTAGCTGGGTTCGTTGTCTGAAGCCACCCGTCACTACCATGGAACGGAATGGGACCCCAGACTTTGATATTGATCTACAGTTAGCAAGAACCTGCCAAGTATTTTCTATGATTAAACAATTGTCTTCTGCTAAAACTTTCAGATACAGAATAAGCAATGAATCAACCTAGGAAGATCATTCACATATAGAGAAATCAACCTGGGAAGCCAGCTCTGCAGTTGGTACCAGAACAATAACACGAGGACACCCAGGAGACGATTTGCTCTGTCCTTGAAGTTCTTCTTCTCTGAGACGCTGAATAACAGGGACAAGATATGACAGTGTCTTGCCTGATCCACTTTGATCAGCTATGATACAACTCTTTCCATCGATTACTGGTGCAAAAGCCATAGCCTGCATCAAATAAACAATTAATGGTAAAAAGATAACAGTCAGAAAATTTGTATATTGACCTAGATGATTTTATCAAGACGGAAAATAACTTCAGAACCTGAATATGTGCTGGCCGATCAAAATTATGTTCCTTTAAGGCCTTCATCATATCCTCACTACATCCAATTTCTGCAAAAGTTTTCCGGCTGAAAAAGCCAGTCTCCTTAGTAGCATTGGTTTTATTCCTTTGCTCTCTCCAATCATCCATATCTCTTGCATATACAACAGAACGCCTATCACCCCAACCTCTAGAGTTACCAGTGGAGCCTTTAGAATATGAAAAATGTGATCCACCTCTCTCATTATCAGTGAACCGTTGAGGATTATAAACCTCATCATAAGCTTTATCACGTCCCTGGAATGTACGTAACTCTTTGGCAACAAAACGCTTATCATCTCTACCCCTGGAGTTAGCAGCAGAGTCTGTTGAATATGAATACTGTGATCCTGCTCTCTCATTATCAGTATACTTTCGAGGGTTTGAGACCGCATCAGTGGCTCTTTCACCTCCTTCAAAGGAACCTAAATCTCTAGCAACCGAAAGCCTATCGCCCTTACCCCTGGAGTTAGCAGCATAACCTTTTGAATATGAACTCCGGGACCCTGCTCTCTCATTATCTGTAAACTGGTCATCAATATCTTCATCATCTTCTTCGAATCCATCTAAATCCCTTCTTGACTCTCTAGATTCCCGAACTTTGGTGAATTTTTTAACCTCCTTTTTCTCAACAGACTTACCTGATCTGGGAATAGCCTTCATAGCCAGCTTCTTCCTCATCAAATCCAGAATAGACGATGAACCAAACCCTTCATCCGCAGAATAATCGTCATCAAAGGCGTCATCCTCATCCTCTTCATCACTGTGAGCCATATGCTGCTTCTTCTGAGCTACCTTACCAACAAGTGCTTTCACTTTCTGGGCCTTTAGCCTTCCGAAACTAGCAGATACACCTCTCGAACGCGAACCGTTTCTTTTCCCAGATTCTACAACACCATATCAAGCACCCCACTAAATCATCAAGACAAAGTACCAACATTCTGAAATCCCCAAAAAAACAGTTACACAATTTTAGGAGGGAGACAAAAGAATCAAAATACCTGAGGGAATCGAAGTGAGTAAATCGGAAGACGGCGGAGGAGAGGACTCATTCTCTCTATCCGCCGCACCGATGATGACGAATCCGTCGTCGGTGGAATCGTCGTACGAGCTCGAAGTTTCCAGTGGCCGCCGAGTGAAAGCAGCTCTAGCTACCACTCCTCCGCCTCCGCCGTAACGAAACAGCCGCACAGTCTCACGTAGATTACAATTATAATACCTCGCCGGGAAATGAAAATACGGTGGTGGAGCTCCGGCCAACATGTCCCTCAACCAAATATCTCTCGTATCTTCTTCTTTGGTCTCTCTCGACACACTTTTTCTAAACAGAGTGGGAAAACAATAACAAACGGTAAGGTGTAGAGAAGAAGATACTAGATAAGGCCATATGAACAAGACGACATTACCTGTAGGCAAAAAAAAAAAAAAAAAAAAAAAAAAAAAAAAAACCAAGACGACATTACCCATACCCAAAAAAAAAAAAGAAAAAAAAAAGGAAAACTAATTCTTTGACGTATTTCTATCAGGAAACTAATTTCCATATCTCTCATTATAAATACACACAGTTTTATTAAGCCTCTTTAAAACCTTCTCTACATCACAACAACAACAAATTAAAAACCTAGTCTTCTTCTCTTCTCTTTGTCTTCCTCAAAATTTCTATATAGGCTTCTTTCGATTAAATTTGGTATTGAGAAATAAGTAATCGGGAGAATATATCCAACGCTTCCATTGAATGAATAATGGATCCAGATCCTAAAAACAACAATATGTCTCAACCTAATAATCAAGCTAACAATGATCATGATACTAGGTTTACAAAGATCTTTATAGGAAATTTAACATGGAGAACAACATCAGATGATTTGATAACACACTTCGGACGATTCGGAGAGGTTGTTCATGCTAATGTTGTTTGTGAAACTTATCCTGGAAGATCTAAAGGCTATGGTTTTGTAAGTCCTACCTACTACTACTTTTCTTTTTGTTGAATTTTATAAGAGTATGAAGATTTGTCGTGACTATGCGATCACGTTTGTTTGTATGATGCGATAAATCTGATGATTTCCTTTACATTAAAAGATGTCTACACTTTGTAGTGCAAAATTGTTATCTTAACCGCTTATTATTAGGGTTTGCTAATATCCAATCACTTGATGTCTTTCAGTTTTAAATATTAGATATTTAGAATACACTTAGTTTATGTTTCTCATAACGATAATTACTTAATCTCGTGGTTATTTTTGTAATTAGTTTATAATTTCAAAAATTCCACACTATTATGTATTTATTACAAATCGATGAATAATGTATTTTTTTTTTTTGGAATTGAACGTTTTAGGTTACTTTTAGAGACTCTGATTCTGCAGCTAGAGCTCTTGAGAATAAGAATCCAGTCATTGATGGGAGAACAACCAATTGCCAATTGGCTACTCTTGGTGCTAGGAAAAAAATTAATCCTCCTAACCAAAATGGTTTATTCTTTTCTTTTCTTTTCTTTTCTTTAAAAAAAAAAATAAAAATCTGGTTTTTAATTTTTTTTTATCTTTAGCAACAAATTTTCAAATAACTTTTTATTCTTCATAATTTTATAATTTTCAGGATCATTATTGAATCAGGTGAGACCACCGCAGCAATATCAGCCACGACCTGTACATGTACCTCCTCTCCAATGGTTTTTTTTTTTAAAAAAAATTTTCTAAAACTAAAGTTGAATATCGCTTTCATCTAATTTCTTTGATTTTTGTTTGTTTTTGAATAATCCACAGGGATCCATTTGCAGGACAATACATTTACATGTATAATCACAATGTGTTTCATAATCCTTACCCAACACACATGGTTAGAACTTATATATGTTCCATAGTCTATTGTGTTTTTGTATTAATTCTTTCAGAGTAATCTAATGGTAGTTTTGCATGCAGACCCATTGGCCCTATGGTTTACCATCCATACCGCAGCACAATTTGCAACAGACAAACATGCGACATGCCGTTGCTTATGCGCCTCAAGAGTCATCGGTTCAACTTAATGAAATCATCAATGATACTGATCAAGAATCTGCGCCTCAAAGATCATCGGTTCGGACTGAAAACATCAACGAAACTACTGATCAAGAACTCACAGCGGATGTTGCACATCACGACAATGAAGAGGCGGCTACAAAACCAGCTGGTGATGTTGATCAACCAACGGCAACCGATCAAGAAGGAGGGAAAAATGCAAGTGATGAAGAAAGAAAGATCAATGACCAAGAAGATATCACCAAGCAAGATGATATGTCGATGAAGAGATCAACTAATGACATCAAGAATGAAAAGATATGTAAACAAGGGTGAGAAACACGATAAACAAACCACACTTGCATTACAATCAAATCTTTTCTTCTCTTTTCTTTCTTCTATTAGCTTACAAAGCTCTTTTTTTTTTTTTACTTTCTATTTCCAATTTTTACTATAGCTAGCTAGTACCCAATTCATAGCATTATAAGGTATGGAACTTATATTAACTATAGTTACTGTAGTTTCTTTTTTTTTTTTTTTGTCGGCAAAGTTACCGTAGTTTCTATTCGTTCCTTTTATGTATTCTGTCAGTAATTTGTGAGGGTAGTTGCGTGGTTCCCCTTTCTAGAGAAATAATGATGGGCACACATTAAAAGTAGGAGATTTTTGTACGTCGAGATGTACTTTGGGATTTGGTTCTTGCTCCTTTACTTGAGCTTACCGACCAAACTTAGGTATTAATTTAAAGCCAACGCGATACTTTTGGTGAGGAATCGAATGTAGCTATATTAATTGGAATATAGTAAAGTTACTTATTACTCTAAGATTGTACGTATACTCTAAATTCTCATGAGGAGAATTTAAGGTCATGTGAAATACAATTTTTCTTTGATAACAAAATATATATTGTTTTCTCATCTCATGTAAACAAAGAGAAAGGTAAACTAAAGTAAAAGGCGTAGGACATGTTCTCAAAAGGTTGAAAAAAATATATCCAAAGGCGAGAAACTTGGGAGAAGAAGGTAAGAATTTTAGAAAGGTAAGAAAGTGAGTATAAGCCCTATACGTAGAATGGTGGATACTTAACCACCAAGCAGTGCTTTCAAGCTGGCTTAAAGTTGGGGATACAAAATACTAGTACACAAAAGGAGATAGGCACACCGCACATGTATATTAGTAAACACATATATCTTCTGTCTTCTTCTCGATTATAAGCATATCGAGCTCTGACTGATTCTTTATTTGCTTTTGTATCGATTCGTGCCTAGCTACAAAAGCTTCTTCTTTCTTACCATATATTCGTTCTTCTTTTCCAAAAGTTTTGTATAAAAAGAAGTGAGTTTTGGTTTCGATTATTATATGGTGCATATCGTCTTATAATAAGAACACACATACTGAATATTGTATTTGGCCAACTTATATATGATTAGACACCTCTTCAACTTTTGTCTAGTGAAGTCACAAATTATCCAAATATTTATCATAGTAATACATGTAAGTAGGGAGTAAATAATTCATAGATAAATGTAAGTAGTTTTTTACAATCCCATATCGAAGTTTAACCTGGAGACGAACAATCTTCTTGCCTTCCAAGATAACTTTTGCTAAAAAGAGGATTATCCAATCTTAATACATAAAAGCACTTTCGGTTGAAGATTAATTTGACCAATCAGATACGTACTAATTCATCTCATCAGCGATACTTGTACATGCATTACAATCAATCATCTCATCAACACAGCAGCTTTACGTAAACCCCATGTGAATTACTTACAAGCTCTATTGTTTTCTTTAAGCTGGGAGAAGCTTTTTTTGTTTGTTTCTTTTTTTTTTTGGGTCTGAGGGGACTCGTATATTCATACATTCTAACATCGTACGCTTGGGCTACAGGCGCACGGTAAAATCATTTAGACGGCTGAAGTGGCCAATCACGCATTTTAAATCATCTTAGACGATACTTTAGTTCCATGCACCAAACCTTTTAGTGAAAAAGTGTAAATATAAACTGTATGCAAGGACGATAACGTATAGTATATAGAGGAAAAAAAACAGATAAGCAACATGGATAAACTTGACCAATTAATGATGATTATATTTATTGAAATCACATATAGAAAACACATGCATACACTACTCGATCAGACAAAAAAAAAACAAAAAAAAAAAAACAAATTTTCTTCCAAACTACAAATTTGCAGAGCTGATATATATTGGAAGGATAAAAAGGTGATAGAATAGTATATCAGTCACGAGTCTCGTGGAACCTTTTGATAAAATCAGTGGATCTCCTGTTAATAGCTGGTTCGACGAGGTACCAATTATAGAAGTTGGCTTCACTATCTTCACCATACATCTCGTCGTCCGTTCCTGCCTGGTTTGATCTCTGTCTGCGTCGCCACCACGCCTTGAAGCTGCCGAAGAAGCTAAAGAAGAAACGCCACGAACTACCCATTTAATGATCCTTTAGAGAGAGAGAGATGTATTTTGCGTGTTTATATCTAAAAGATACGTATAAGCATGTGAAGGAAGGTGAGTCTGATGGTTTAGGGTTCAAAACTCAAGGTCCTTTTATATACAAGGCTGGGGACAAGTTGGAATCCTAGAGGAACCATGCACGAAACACCCCACCAACCAAATAAAAAAAGAGCTTTTCACTTCTAGACATTTTTATATTCACAAGGAATAAACACTCTAAAAAAGTAGGCAAGATGTTTATTTGTCGCTTGCTTGCTAGCTAGCTAGAGAGTTATTATGTTAATCATTACATAGGCCCTCTGGTAATCAACAAAAATTATCTTCAAGTTTTTTTCTTGTTGAATAAAAATGATCTTATAACAGTATAATGACAGTTTTCTATAGCAAACATTGAATTTGAAATTTATCATATTTCATTGTGGCTCCACCCCGAGATTATATACATTGTATAATTTGAATTATCAAATTTAGAATTGACAATTTGACGTATTATAAATATATAAACTAAAATTAGACAATTAAAAGCGTTTGCATTTTTTTTTTAAAAAAGCGTTTGCATTTGCGTTTTTTTGTCACACAAATTAAGGAGCAGTCGCAGGCTCGCAGCACTTGTCACCTAAAAAATGCTCCGCGATGTACTTGGGACTCTAATAAAAACGGCAAAGCATTCTTCTTACGAAAACATAAAACGTCACGGTGTTTATCGGACTAATCCAGAGTAAGACTGTGTTTGGTCATCTCGAGGTCAGCTGGTTGTAGAAATCGAGCGACGGCGGTGTAGAGCGACGGCGATGAACAGACTGAGATGGGTCGCAGAGGGAGACATCTGGGACCTCGATATGTCAACTCCGGTGACGCTCGAGGCCACCGCACGAGCTGTTTCGGACGATCCTCTTCCTCTAGGTCTCTCCAGAGGCACTCATCTCTCTCGCTCTAAGCAAGTTGAGTTCTTCCACCGCTTCATGGCCACACCTCTCATCCCTTCCTTCTCCTCTATCCGTTCAAACACCGGAGATGGAGGCGGTGGTGGTTTCTCTCTTCAAAGAGTCCTCACTCTTCCTTTCTCCAATAATTGGTATACTACACCAAATTCAAAATCCTGGCTTTTTTTCCTGATAGTTTCGGTGAAAGCTCTATAATGGTTGTTTTTTGTTTTTTATAATCCCAAGGTTTGTGTCTCTTCTGGGCCAATTCGATGTTCAGAGATTCGTATCGGAGATAAAAAAGAATGAAGCATTTGGTCGAGGGTCTTCGTCTACAGCAGCTTCTCGTTTAAACGCAATTGGCAAGCATTTGAAGGACAAATCTTTGTATGCATTGGGTTTTTGCTCTGAGTTGTTGTTGACACCAGATGATACTTTGCTTCTTAGCTATGATACTTACAAAGGTGATCTTCAGAAGAATCCTAGGGCTAAGGCTATCTTCAATCACAAGGCAATTTCTTTCTTACCTTCTTTTTGATTTGTTGACGCTATTGATCTTTTCATATTTTGGATGGAAATGTGATTTATTGGTAGATTTGAAAGTTGGAAATTGGGTCACTTAGCTTAAGAAATCTGGTAGGTCAGTTTATCCTACCCAGCTATCGAACTAGACTTGTGATTTTCATTGTTCTGTTTCACATCTCTCCAAAGAATACAGTTCATAGAATAGAAAATTACAAGCTTTGCTCTATTGTCTGTATCGATTATTCCAATCTGGTTGAAAATTTGATAACCTAGGCTGAATTATCGTTCTGAATTAATGAATATGGTTCACTGAGGTTATAAAGTCCTCTACACTTTTTGATGCTCTTGTTCTGATTTACTTCTCTATTTTCGTCGGTTTCAGTTTCCCCTTCACAATCTGACAGCAGAGGCGTTTTGGCCTGGACTATTTGTGGATAAACATGGTGACTATTGGGATGTGCCACTCTCAATGGCTATAGATCTAGCTTCTCTTCCTGCTGAGTCTGGTCTAAGTTACCATTTATGTTTACATCATAACAGTGGATCACCCAAGAAGTTTAATTCTGATACAATGGAAGTGCCTCCACCGTCTCTGCTTCCTGGATTGTCTTTAATATCTGCAGTCTCCTATAGGACAAACATGGATCTCTGGAGGGGTACCACTCCAAAGCTCGAAACTTACAAGCCCTTTGACATCTTCCTCAGTAGTCCTCATGTCGCAGTATCGGGGATTATCGGTATGATAAGTTTATTCAACTCATTCCAGAAGCATTTTTACTGTCAATACTTGAAATTTTGCGATTTCTCTAATAAGTTATGTGCAACTCTGTTCATCTGAATTCTGCAAGCCTAAGATATTTGATGTTACAGAACCAGTGATGCAAAAGGTGAATTTGTGGGATCTAAGGTTTCTTACGGCTATTGAATAGCAATGTGTTCTCTCTGATTGAAATTTTTATGTTTGAGTGAGCCCTCCTCGTAGGAAGCACTGGTCCTTTTGATACTCTATTTGATGTTATTATTAATAAGTTTCATAAATCCTACAGGCTCTGTGTTGACCGCCGCATTTGGTGAAAATTCAATCAGATCAAAATTTGAGAATGATTCTGAGGGTGTTGGAGGGTTCTCTCTTCATGTTCCATCTGTAAATTCCGGATTCATGGCTGATGCCTTAGGACGGGCATCACTCACAGCTCAATATGGAAACTTCCAGAAGCCCTTGTTTGATCTCACCCGTTTCCATGCTAGATTAGACTTTCCGCATGGTTTGAGGTTTCTTACCGGTGCCACTAGCGTCGCACAAGATCTTTTAAATTCTCGGCAGCCTAGTTTAGAAGCATTTCAGAAAATCTGCCCTGAAGTATTAGTTTCTTTACAGCAACAGGTAAAAGACAGGATATTCTGCTCTGAGCAGATCGTCTACCAGACAATAAGAAATTCTTAAATTCATAGTTTTCAGCTACTTGATTTGTAATAATCTTCTATGGATTTGGTTGCAGATTGTTGGACCGTTTAGTTTCAAAGTGGAATCTGGAATTCAGATTGATCTGAAGAACGGACTTAACCCCGTGACTATAGATAAGACAGTATTTGCTATCGAATATGCTCTTCAAGTGCTTGCTTCTGCCAAGGCTGTTGCTTGGTACTCCCCACAACAGAAAGAATTCATGGTTGAGCTTCGTTTCTTTGAGACATAGTTTCAGCTTTTTCCACTCAAAATGTCAAGCTTGATCCTGTGAAGAATGTAGTCTTGCAGAGAAGTAAATAGACAATGATTTATTTTTCAGTTTCTTATGTTAAACAGAAGAATGTTTCAATAGAAGGGAAGTTTACATCTTGTTATAGTGTGATGTCTACCAAAACTAGTTACAGGACAATCCAGTGGAAGTTTTAGATGGTCTTCCTTATACTGAATAGACACAAGACAAAGGCCATGAGGTGGTGCAGGCAAATTAGTATACTTTGCAAGTTCCCTCCTGTCTTTGGTTTCCAGAATCATAGGGACAATATCTGAATCCAATGCTTCTTTTCCAATCTGAATCAGCAAAGCTACCTGCACATATGGAAGGGCTCAGCAGACTAAAAGCATTATTTCGCCGTGTTGAACGCAGTTAGAGAGAATAAGGAACTAACCATGTTTCTCACTTGTCTGTACAAAAAGCCTGAACCTTCAACTTCAAGCTGTAGTAGAGATCCCTAAACACCAAAAATAAAACAGCGAAGGTTAAGTAACGACACTTTCGTAACATTTTCAAGAACTAAGAAATTATACCATTTGAATGACATCAAAGCGGTAAATAGTTTTCAAAGGATCAGGTACTCCATCTTCCCGTGTAGCGTTAGCAAATGCAGAGAAATCATACTTTCCAACAAAAAGTTTAGCAGCTTCCCGCATTTTAGAAGCATTCAGTTTATAAGCACAATGGAATGCCCAATGACGCTGGAACGGGTCCATGAAAGTATCGTTGTATATTTGGTAGCGGTAAATCTTGCTAGAGGCAGAAAACCGAGCATGGAACTCAGGAACCGCTGCACTCATCTCTCTGACACGGATATCTTTAGGGAGAAGACCGTTTAAAGCAGCGTGAATGCTATCCAAACTAGTATAATTAATAGGAGTGACAAAATGAGCTACCTGAAGAAAAACAAGATTGGGCAAAGAAAGAATAACGGAAGATTTAGTTTGTATTTAGACCAGAAATTCTTTTAAAGTTTAGAAAGCCAGAGTTGGGAATTTTAGCCAAACCTGACCCCAAGCGTGAACTCCAGCATCGGTCCTGCCTGCTCCAACAAGATGCAGCTCTTTTCTTTCGAGCTTAGTTATGTGAATCAAGGCTTTCTCTAACACTGATTGGATCGTTGGTGGTGACTCCTGATACTGCCAACCTGAAGCCAACACACCATTCAATTGGATGTAAAGAAACAAGACTGATAGATGAGTCCAAAGTAGGAGCAAAATCCAAAACTTAAAAGACTACAAGTATTGGAGAAATATGTAGTTAGGCTATTAACTAGAACCTGCAAACTTTGTGCCATCGTAGGCAATCACAAGGCGCCATTTATAACCACCAGAGTCGCTAACTTTAACCAAACTGTTTGAGCTCGTCATCTGAAACACACAAACATTCAGATTAAATCACTCATTTCGAAAGCGAGCAAAGAAGTCGCAATTCGGAAAAAAGAGATTGTATTTGTGGAGCTTACGGAGACACTCTGAGGAGACGAGAGAGAACCATTAGTAAAGAGTGAAGGAGGAAGCGCAGGTGTAGCGCAACTCATCCTCTTCTCTTCTTCTTTGTGTAATCTGATTGATTATTCTGATTAGGAGAAGAAGAAGGACAAGGCCAGTAAAACGGTGCGTATGATTAGTTAGATCATGCCGGACCGAAACTTTTGGGTTCATCCGGTTATTAGATTGTTTTGGTTTGAGAACGGACTAATTAATATGAAATCTTTTTGTAAAAGAGGCTATGGAAGCATATTGTACTTGGTCAAACTAACAAAACTGCCTTTTCTTTAATTTTAAAACATAAAAAGAAAAAACTCAAATGGAAACATTCTGAATTATGAATTCTTTTGTTGACCAAATTTATAGTCTAAATTTTATTTTGTAGAAAACTCTATCATACCTTATGGAGTTCTATATATTTCTATATGTAAAATTGCAATGTGTATAAATGCATACACACAAGACCAACAAAATCAGTTCTTTGTAACAAGCAAATTTTCATAAAGACAGGTAAATCGACTTATAAAATATGTTGAAGTCGTGTATGAATTGTTAAAATGTTTTCACTACCAGAACATCTTAATTCTAACATTTATTTTGAAATCGTTTTTTTTTCTTCTATAGGGTTGTTTGTTTGTGAGATTGAAGAGTATTCTGAAAGAAGTTGCTGCATCCTCAAAAAGTTATGGCAACCAAGAAGTTTTCGTGTCTTATGTTACTTTCATTGATGATGTTTGCTTTCGTCATGTTGCCCGTGATTTCAGGTAATATATTTATTTGTTTTAAACAAGATCTTCTTAATCGCAAATAAATGAATTTTAATCCGATAAACAATTCTCTTGAGATAAAAGATTCATGAACAATTTACCACTTGAGTCAAAATATTCAAAGATCTTTGCATTTGTATCAGAATTTTACATGCATTGATCATTAATGTTTTACTAACACATTTATTTTGTGAATGGTTTTCTGAATGGATAAATTAGGACAAAGTCACAATCGCAATACATGTTTTGATAGGGCATACCCATGTCACGAGAATTCATGCAGTAAAAGCTGCATCTTGCGAGGTTATGTATCAGGAGGTTGTCTAAAACTTACTTATGAAATTGCTTGTTGTTGCAACTGGTAGCAAGCAACGGTTTACAATCTCTAGTCCCAATACTTGCTATTACTATGACATGTATTCCCCATAATAATAATGAAAACGACAAAAATATTTCCAATATGATCGATCTGCAATATCAGCACACAGAGTAATGTATGTATCAATGCATGTACTGTCCCAAACTCACATGTGCCGATCCTACAATTAGCTTATACATGTGTTAGACAACAATCTCTGATTATTTAGCTGCATTACATATCAGCCGAGTGGGATGAGTTTTGCAAATCCACAAGAGTTTCAAATCATTCCACCGCAGCTACATTGTTTTTGGAAACCGCGACTTATGTTCTAATAGCCCCAAAATCGCTATTTAATCACTTTTTACAGACGCGAAACGCTAATTGTAGTCTAAACGCAGCGTTTTGATGTCACCATTCCGTACGTGAATGTTTCAAACTCCTCTCTCTCTGTGTCTCTGTGTCTGCAGAAGAAAAAAAGCTCGGCAATTTCAATGTTTCATCATCAGAACATAGAACCGAATTCTTGAGCTTTCTGTTTCAGGCTGGCGTAATCAACGGTACTCTAATGCAGGTATCTTTATAATCCTATGATTTTAAGCTGGTTCAATTCGTTAGTAGGGTTTGTATTCCCCCCCTTCTGATCCTCTTTTCTGAATTCAGAATTGTGATCTATTATTCAATTTCGGATTCGTTCTCTGAAATTAGGGTTCATAACTTTCCTGATTTCTTATTGAGGCCTGAATTTAATAAAATTGAGGATTTGTGTTTTATGCAAAAAAGTGTGTAATATAGAGAGTCTGGTTTTGTGTTTGTTTTATAGGATTGATTGGTCATGGCCACCAACAAAGTCATAGCTATATGTCAGTCAGGAGGAGAGTTTGTGACTATTAAAGATGGATTGTTATCGTATTCTGGTGGCGATGCTTTTGCCATAGATATCGATCACAACACTTCAATGACTGATTTCAAGTCAGAGTTGGCTGACAATTTTGATTTTGGTTTGGAGACTATGACTCTCAAGTATTTTCTCCCTGGAAACAAGAAGACCCTTATTACCATTTCCAAGGACAAGGATTTCAAACGCATGGTCACCTTTTCTGCTGATGCAGGGAGTGTCGAGATCTTCGCCATTCCCGAGCTAGCTGGTGCCAAAAATCTCTCCACCATGCCAGCCAGTAGGTATATGTTTTCCTTTGCTTTCTTCTACTTCCTTTATTTGTAACCGGTCCCTTTGTTCTAGAACTTGTACTGGTTCATTGAGCTGATCATAGTTAGAATTGTACGGTTGTGTTCAAGTTGTTTGCAGCTAATGCAATTATTTAATGAAGCACAACTGATCTCCTGTCTGAATTAGGTTAAAGAAAGTAGCTAATGTGTGAGTTGCTTCTACAGGTCAAGTAGGACAACAGCATCAGAAGGGGTGGTACCTGCAATTTGTGGTGCAGGAGATGTTATCGAGGAAGATATGACAAATGATTTTCAAATTGATATGGCTATGCCCGATGATACTCCTTTGCCATGCAATTTTGTTTTGGTTGATCAGAAACATAACACAGCGATACAGCAATGGGAAAACGTCATCACGGGTGTTGATCAACGGTTTAATACCTTTATTGAATTCAGAGATGCATTGCACAAGTATTCAGTCGCCCATGGTTTTGCTTACAAATACAAGAAAAATGACAGCCATCGAGTTTCTGTTAAATGCAAAGCTCAAGGTTGTCCTTGGCGTATCACTGCAGCGAGGCTATCAACGACTCAGTTGATATGTATCAAGAAAATGAACCCGAGGCACACATGTGAGAGAGCAGTCATCAAACCTGGTTACCGTGCAACTAGAGGATGGGTAAGAACCATCTTGAAAGAGAAGTTGAAAGCCTTCCCAGACTACAAGCCCAAGGATATTGCTGAGGACATAAACAAAGAGTATGGTATTCAATTAAATTACTCACAGGCATGGAGAGCAAAGGAGATTGCCCGAGAGCAGCTTCAAGGTTCTTATAAAGAGGCTTATAGTCAACTTCCCTTAATCTGTGAGAAGATCAAGGAGACAAATCCTGGCAGTATTGCCACTTTCATGACAAAAGAAGATTCGAGCTTCCATCGTCTTTTCATATCGTTCTATGCTTCAATATCTGGGTTTAAACATGGTTCCCGCCCTCTCCTTTTCCTTGACAATGCTATCTTAAACTCAAAGTATCAAGGGGTTATGCTCGTTGCAACAGCTTGCGACGCTGAAGATGGCATATTTCCAGTAGCCTTTGCTATTGTGGATTCAGAGACAGAAGAGAACTGGCTCTGGTTTTTGGAACAACTTAAATCTGCGTTGTCTGAGTCGCGAAGAATCACATTTGTTGCAGATTTCAAGAATGGTCTGAAGAATGGAATTGCGCAGGTCTTTGAAGATGCACACCACGCATATTGTCTACGCCAGCTAGCTGAAAAACTAAATGTGGACTTGAAGGGGCAGTTTTCTCATGA